TTAAATCACAAAAGCAATCAGTAGGCAGGCATAATATTTTTCCTTGGGGGGGGGGGTGTTAGACCTGTTAGTTCAGCGTTTCTTTTGCTGAATAATTAAGTCCAGTAAAGCATGACAATTTTAGCAGTAGGTCATACAGAAACTGTGAATCAATGACTGTTCTCATGCTACAAAGACCAAGAAGTTGCACCTAAATGCTGTAATTACATCATTATGTTCAAATCTGTCAAGCTTTTTTTTAAAAAAAAATATAAACACCTTTAAGGCTATTTATAGCACTTAAAGTATATTGCTAAATTCTTCTTCAGCATTGCTAGCAGTGACTCAGTAAGATGGAAGCGAATGCAAGAAATTTGCTAGAATCTGTTCAAATACACTTAGGAAGATAACAGTACTCATAAGAAACCATTAAGTTTCATTCATGCTTCTGTAAGTAATGGAAGTCTGAGGTGGTAACACTAAATAAATAAAAGCAAATCAATTCCTTAGACTACAAACCAAAATTTCATTCTAGGAAAAAAAAAAAGTTTTCTGAACAGTATCCAAGTGCTCTTAAGTTTTTCACACCCCCTTCCTCCCAAAATATATCCCACTAAAGTTAAGATGAAAAATAGTCTATCTATGACTGCTCTTCACTGCATCTATTTAGAAACTGAGAGAAAGAAAAGGCAGAATTGTGACTGAATCAGTAGTTATTTACCCACTCATCTAAAGGGTTACTTGTTTAGAAAAACTGTTGCGGAAGGACAGTACACAAATGGAGCTAAGACCCGCTCTCTAGGATGCTCTGTCCAGAAAGCAGCAGCAACCTCAAGGTGCCCTAAACCTGCCTGCCAATGACCCTGCTCCATGGTGCAGTTGGAGAGTTACTCACTGTGACTATGACAGGCAGAGCTGAGTGCATCTGAGTTTTACATCAGAGTCAAATACAATAACTACCAGATATCCTAGAAAGGGCCAAATATGCACAAGTACCTTGACAAATGTGAAGCTCTACCACTTTAGGCTGCCATCTTGAAACTCTATTCACTCATGCCTGTCTTGAGTCTGTGGAAGCTGTTTGTTTATTTGCTTGTAGCTACACAGCAAAAAACCCTGAGGTGGAAGACAGTGAGCAGAAATACACGGAAGTTTCAGGTTCTCCACAGCAAGCCTGGGAGCATTTGCAATGATTCACCTATTTTTTGTCAATACTTTGAGAAGAAAATCTGAAAATTTTCCAGACGGTTTGTTTACAGGACATATTCCCTCCCAACCTTTATCTTAGATCTGACACATCACCTGATGAGGCCTGTCAGACCACAGCAGTCATTCATCATACCTCTTAAGGGCTCAATACCCTTAAGAATAAGTCTAACAGGTAAGCAGGGATACAGGCAGGGATAGATAAAAGTTGCTTTAATACATGTTAATATTTTAATTGAGTAACTCTCATATTAACTACAAGGTGAAGACTAGCACATAACCCCCTTAGGCTTTGCTCTAAGTTTTCCACACAAAAAGTATAGCTTGAGTGAGTAGTGATCTAGTCTGCTTTGGACTACTGAGGCCTAAGCCACAGGTAAATCTGGTCATGCTTTAGCTGTGCCACACTTCCTTTTGCTTACTTGCATACCTATGGATTCACATAATCATCATGTAGGCTACACAAGCACTTTTTAATCAAGACAAATTTGTATCTGTAGTTTGTACTCTTGTTAGAGGCCTCCTTTTGCAGTAGTCAATCCCTTAAAGCTTCCTTACACAGACTGCAGGAATAAGGTAAGAAGAGATCAGACCTCTTCTGTTACACCCAAATTCTGAGCTTATCAGAAAGTCAGCCAGCACAGTATGATGGGGTAGAGATACGAGTGCTTTAACTCAAAGCCAGTTCTGCCTTCAGTTATACTGGCATAGCCAAAAAGCAAGGTCTTTCCCACAGCAACTGTCAGTAAACTGACAGTTTACAGTCTCTTGTATCTTCTCCATGTGGATAAGTCCACTGTTATCACCAGATTGATCTTAACTACTCACTCCACAATTGTATGGATTATTTTAATTGCTAGGCTAAACACACTATTTCTGAAGTCTTAGACTGCAGGTTTCCCCTTGATGTTACTGTCTTGGGAGATGAGTCTGTATCAGTAGATATGCACCATGTTCTGCTCACTCATTTACATTTTATTGTACTCCAGCAAAGTTAACGGGCTGTTGATGGCCAGCTCCCTCTTTTCCTGCAGGCTCAGTTCTGCAAGGAGTGGGCACTGTTCAGTCCTCAAAAATAACTGTTTCAGATATTCAGCTATGAATTTATCTATTCTTTCAAGTCAGGCAAATGTTCATTCAACTATTAGTACTGAAGTTTCTCACATTTATCTTGGGAAAGTCAACCATAACACTGTGGGTAGACTCTGCTTTTGATGTTTAAGAATTCTGTAAACTCCCTACAAGAAGGGCTCTTGCCAGTGACAAGGCATCCTCGAAATATCTAGAACCGAAGTATATTCCACACAGTTGAGCTGAGCAGTGTTTAATTTCCCACATTTGAGGCAAGTGCATCAAGGTGCTGCCTACCCCACATAGCTAGATTTTTTTCTGTATAGTTGCACAAAGAATTGAGTCTTCATTGTAGCTGAAATCTGCCATGAGATTTACAAACCAGGCAATAATCTTCTCCCAAGAGAAAAGCATTTTCCTCATCTATCACAGCAGACAAAGATAACTGCCTTAGTATTGATGAAAGATTGTGCGTAAAGAGGTTAGAAACACTGAGAAGTCAAAGCCAAGATATCATAAACTAAACATCTGCTCAGCAGTCTAATACTTTGTCCTTTTCACAGCCGGTGCTCCTTCTTTGTCCCTTGATACTGCAAGTACATGATTCAACTTAGAGTTATTGCATGTAAATATTAACCTCAAATTAGAATCTGGGAGGCCAGGAGAGGACAAAAGTAGCTTTTACTGCCAAATCCAATATATCCTCTTGGGAAGAAGTAGTAACCGGAAGCACAGCAACAGCTCAAGTGTTGAACGCACTTCCCTCAGCCCATTTTTCTTTTCCCCTTCCTCTGAAGGGTTGGTCATGTTCTTCTAACTAGAAGCTTGTATCAGGACCTGAGAAACAGAACCATTAAGTTCTCAGCATAAGAGCTATCTTCAGATAGTTGATAAACAAGTGCACTCAAGTGAGCATGTTTCAAGACTTCAGTTTTGTACACTGGAGATAAGACAACACAGGATGACAGCAATACATAAAATGCCTAGCAAGAGTCAAAGCTGCAAGCCAGCTATATTTTCTAATAATGGACAGTCCTGACTAGCAGGATTCTACTTGTTGAAGTATAATAGTGCATTCATGTGAGCGCCTGTATGACTGACCTACAATCGTAGCAACACAGAGATTTGTTGGATGTGAATATACCACATTTTCTGCTTAGTTCCTGCTGTGCTGGTAGTGCCCTGAGTAACTCCAAGCACCACTAAGTATGCATTAATGAATCAGAAATATGAATGTGTTATTCAGACATCTGCCTTTTGAACAAGGTCATCTATGCTGGAAAGCTGAATAAAATACCATTTTAAGTGTTTTGTTTCATTACCAGAACATCCTTTGCTCTAACATCTAAACATACAAAAGTCCATGAATGGATTTCCTATAACATGACACAAGGTTATTATGGTTTAGATAGCAAGTAAGCAGAATTTCATAGCTGATGCAAACAATACCATTAGATGGCTTCCTCTACTAAAAAGCAACCAGACTAGCCCACTAGAATCTAGCATAGCCAAGAGCTAACATATGTTGAAAATATTAGCCTAACCTACAGGTAGGCTATGCTCAATATGCAGTATTCACCTTGACACATAATGAGTACTTGCTTGAATACAAGTGCTTGAAGAGAGTTCATAGATAGCTTTGGTATTATTCCTCCACAATTTATGTCATGTCTGGAATGACAAAATGACATCACTTGCCCGAAGATTAACAAAATCTCCTTGGCACCTCCCGTGCTGCCAGAACTAACTCAAGTGCCTACAGTTAGTCTGATAAAAGAAGAAAGGACATTAGCCTAGCTTTTCTGACAAGGGAAATTATCAGTCCTCTCCTCACAGGAGGAGGCCTAGGCTAGTAACGCCCTCCAATGTTCAGTTTCTTCAGCAGTCCTTTAAAGGGAGGGAGGCCAACATCAGTGGTTTTACTGTAAGAATCAAAACCCTATTCAGCTACGTAATTTAGACCATTGGTACTTGATCTTTAAGAATCAAGTTTATTTGTTTGGCCAGGTCCCAACACTAACAGGACAACTGTCTGGCTTAACCTAGAGTTTTTCTAGGTTATGAGGATTTAGGGATCTGGTAAAATATTCCCTTTCCCCTAGTTCCATTAAGCTTCCTATTTCTTTCATGTAGCTTGCTTTAAAGCTCTCTTTAATGCTCTGCCATCTCACTTAGATGAGAGCAGATCAATACTTTGCAGAGGTATTGACAGCCCTATATCAAGGGCTCCTTTACCAACAGTTGCCTTCTGGAATAAGCTACAGCTGTAGTTGTACTTACTGCAAAGTTGGGCATGCTGGGTGACCAAGGCTGTTGAACTATCAGTAATGAGAAACAGAGAAAGGCAATAGTCATCTGCTTGGTAGAACAGGAGTGTGGTAATGGACATCTAAGGGAATACCTTTGTCATGACACTCCCTGCCCTCCAGCTCCTACTGCAAGGCAAATAAGATCTTTAATATGCGAATTAGTCACATCAGCTACATATGTTGGCACTGCTGGTGCAGGATCCTGCCTGTGAACCTCTACCCAGACATCTTAACAAGTGGAAGATAAACCAAAATGGTATTGCAACAGCTGAGCAGAACATCATGTTCTCATGATAGCAGTGTGAGAGTCTTGTATGCTGCCTGGTTTTAAGAAAAAAATAAAATTGGATTTAAAACTCCCGAAACCACTAAATTAACAGC